AATTATTATTCTTTTTTTTGAGTTCATCTTTTCTTTTATTTATTTACAAAAAAACACATCTGTCCTTTGAGTTTTAAGGATATATCCCCTTGAAATAGTTGGCTTTGACTGATACTATTAGCAGGAAAGAAAGCAGCCATTGAGAGAATCCAGGCAGTTGGGAGATTTAAGCTAGGGGAGTCTAGAGATACACATGGCAGAGAAAGGCTATTTTAATGGTATTTTGGTACACATTGTGTTCATGAAACTAAGGCAAGAAGCACTGACAAGGTGTTTATTTTATTTTATTTATTTATTCATTAAAATGTATTTTACTTATGTTAGAGAGGAAGGGAGAGGGGAAGAGAGACAAAAACATCAATGATGATAGAGGATCATTGATCAGGCCTCCCACAGTGGATCGAGCTGCAAACGAGGCATGTGTTCTGACCAGGAATCGAACCATAATCTCCTGGCTCATAGGTCGGTGCTAACCACTGAGCTAAGCTGGCTGGGTGATAAGGTATTTTTAAAAAATCTAATATGTCTTAAAAACTCAGCTGTTTAGTAACAAAACATATTGACTAGACTAGAGAATTCAACAACTTCTCACAAATGTATTATCTTATGCTTAAACAAAACTAAATGTGAACTAGTTTATTTAAGGTAAAACCGCTTTCATTTTCTTTGGTGTCAGTGTTTGTGTGAAGGATGTGAAAGAGCGTGAGGAAAATGACAGAGCCTATCTCATTGGACGGTATTTACTAAAGGAAATGAAACGTAATTTAGAGTTATGTCAGGAGTTAAAAGGAACAGAACTCGAAGAGCCTGTTTAGGAACTCCAAGTGGGCTTTACAGTAGATTCCACACAGGTTTGTTTTAGGAAATGACAAGAGGAAAAGGATGAGACCATTTCTTAACTTTCACCTTAGCAACTTTCCTGTCAGGCGGCCTTCAGTCAGCAGCAGTTAGCGGGAATCCCAAAGTACAGTCTCAGGTTGGAAGCCATATTGTTGCAGTGGTGGCGGTGGCTTCCTGAGCAAGTACTCAAAACTCAAGTGAGAGTGGGAGCCATTAGAAATCCCGAAACAACCAAAAGTGGCACTCGGAGAGAATGCCTATAAATTATAGTCATGCAGGATCCCCTATGGAGTTGTGGAAATATTTTACCTTAAACAAGATCTTGAAACACTCTTTTCCTGTCTGCATATCTTGCAAACACAGTGAGGCCTATTCCTGGAGGCAGTGACTAACTTCACATATACATTGGTTTGTGTGCGCAAAAGCACTTCAAATGCTGGTCAGCAAAAGCATTATTGACAATTTAAAATGAAAGAAGTATTTTAAGAGGGTTATTACTCCTTTGACTCATGAATGAAATGGCCCCTACTTACAATGGGGTGTTTCCTGTTCTAGCAGATAAGGGAGGTAAGGAGGTAGAATCATAGCCAAGAATTACTTTTTCCTGATTATTCTTTCACCCCCCCCTCAATTATTCTTTATGTAGTTTGCTAAATCAAACTGGAAAAGGAAAATTAAATGCTAGAGTAAGGAACAAAAGATATGAGAGTGAACAAAACCTGTGAGCTTTAACTATTTTGATAGTCAATTAGAATTTTGCATTTAGGTCTGTCCTGCTTGGTACAGGGCTGTTTGACATACTCTGTAGTGACATAGAGATGAAAAGGGAGGTCTCATTTTGAGAGGCATTTAATAAACAGGGAACACTTTACTATAAGGCAAAATTCGGGTTTTAATAAAAATATAAAGTATTGTAGGAGCCCAGAGGAACTAGAGGAATGGGAAAGGTTGAAGGGTTTTTGAGCCTTTCAATCCAGAGATGGACTTCTGGAAGCAGTCCATTCCAGGCCAGGGTAACCTCGGGCAAAGCCTGGGTGTGTGGCAATCAATGTTCAGGAAGAGCTTGCAGTCTGTCGTGATCTCATGATGAGAGAGATGGGACTGAGGAACTATCCTATGACATCCTTCAATGCAGTCTTTACTGTGCTGGCAGAGTTAGGTTTGTGAGAGGTGTTGAGGAAAGAAATGAAAGATTTTGATCATGTTTTAAGAAGTCCATTTAGGCAGAAAATGATCATGCATTTGAGGAAAGAATAGCATTGATTTGAGTTGCATTTATACATTATACCAAATTCTACAACATCTCTTTCTCCACGTCATCAGGGTTCTAGAGAGTTGCTCCTTTATTTCCGTCCTTATTTTTCCGCATCATCTTTTTATTCATTTAGTTAGGGAAAAATGCTCAGCATCTATCATTACACTTTACTCTATAGCTGCTTGCACTTTTCAGAGTGTCTTTATAATGTTGGCTGTTTTATATTCTGTAAAAAACACTATGAAGTTAGTAGGGCTGATGTATGGTTCTTGTGTTATAGATAGAGAGCCTGAAAATTGCTCAGTCAGAAAGCTGGAAAGTGGTGAATTGGGATTATAATTTGGGTCTGCTAATTCCTTAAACAAACATGACTTATTCCTTTTATACAACACTTAATCCTGTGTGAAATGCTAAGGACTGTGGGCCATAATGATCTCTTCTCTCAGACAGGTGATAATCTTTTTGGGGGTCTGAGGTCGCATGCCTGCTGAGCAGTGGAATCCCTATTAACCAGAATCATCTGGACTGGTAGTAAACTGTTTAGATAATTAATCAGAAATTGGTTAAAGTGGGAAATTATAAAGCTGATCTATATGCATAAACATGTTACAGCAACTTAAAACATTTAAAACCTCTATTTATTAACCAATCTTTTGATGTGGGACCAAGGTCTTCAATTAAGGTGCTTCTTGGAGTCCACTTTATGCATAACTTTCCCATAATTTAAAAGTATTGATTTCTTTAATGTAGAGTGAGAACTTAAAAACAGTTGTGAGTATAGAATCATTTTATTTTATTTTAAAATTCCCCCTAAGATCTTCTACAGATATATACCCCATATCTAATTTAACAAGTTTTTTCACTTTTTTTTTTACTGTGTCTTATGTAGTTCTCATAGAAAACTTGCCTTCCTTTTTCTACTCACTTGATGTAATATTAATTAAATTATGTAAATATAACAGCATACAACTGTCATAAACATGTCTGTCATAAATGGATTTGGAAACGAACACAATGACCGTTGGTAAATATCCAACTCAATTGGTGTACACTGGCATATCAGAAAGTGCCATGCACAATAATCAGTATGTTTCACAGAGAGAATGGAAGACATCAGCCATTCCAGTGAGCTGATGAAGAGAGCTTCAACTGCAGTTAACCTGTAGCAGTATATACCACTGAATATGTTCAGAGTGTGGGGGGGTTGAAGTAATCTAGAAAGAAGATAGTGGACAACTGTGGAAAGGTAGTTGGGGCTGGAAAGATGGGTGGGATTTAGGAAGGGGGAGTTCTAGTTACATGTTTGTGCTTGCCAGCTGTGTGTGTGTGTGTGTGTGTGTGTGTGTGTGTGTGCGCGCGCGAGAGAGAGAGAGAGAGAGAGAGAGAGAGAGAGAGAGAGAGAGAGAGAGAGAGAGAGGGAGAGAGAGAGAAAGCAAGAAATGGCTAAGTACTTAGCAAAACAAAGAAATCAATTTCTTTGGAGTACAAAATAGTAGACATCAGATACACCAATTTCCTCTATTCAAAATCTTCTAAATTCCACAAGAAGGAAATCTATATCAGGTGGGTTTGGTGAGAATTTTGATTTACTCCTGATGTAAATAAAATCATTGCGGGAGTTATGTCATTTAGTCATTTAGTCTCCTTTCTTTAATGTGGACTATACCTAATCCATCCCAGACAGATGAAGGGCTACTGTATTATAAGAAAACTGCCAGGGAGGCATTTATGATTTCTTTTTGTGGTCCACTTTGATGTTCTGGTCCCCTGCAGTAACACTTCACATATTCAAAAGTGATTGACATATTCCAGTGTCTAGGCTGAAGTATCCCAAAGTGATAGAACCATCATTTCATCTATTTTTTTAAATGTATTGATTAATTTTAGAGAGAGAAGGATGTGAGAGAGAAATATTGATTTGTTGTTCCAGTTCTTTCTACATTTATTGGTTGCTTCTTGTATGTGCCCTATCTGGAAATCGAACTCTCAACCTTGGTGTATCAGGACGATACTCTAACTGAATTGCCTGGCCAGGGCTGTATTTTTAATTTACTAAGTAGAAAAGAAGAGAAATTACAAAGCTTGGATTTTCCCATCTGCAATTACATAAAATATGTATACACACACACACACACACACACACACACACACACACACACACAAACACACACACACACGTGTGCCATAACTTTTGGAAATCAAAACAGAAATTTATCAGATAAAGATGCCAAAAGCAGTCTCACAGGTATAACTTGAAAGAATGTTGAGGTTCTGTCTGCTGAGATGGCCTGACAGCAAAAAAAGGGAAAGTTGATGATTGATACCCTTTCACCTCTATCACTTCTGGTTCATCTTTTCTGGTTATTTCTTCCTTTTTCCTGTTCCTGTACTATCACAGGTTAGACAAGATCTGACCCTCATACCAGTTTGCTAAGCTCCCCATGATTATAAAGTGGGTTTGCTACTAAAATGGATTAAAGTATCAGTCTCCTTTGGGTTGTTTCTTAAGTGGATTCTTAGAGATGAAAGGCCTTGAAGACAGAAAGTCTTGCAAACCCTAGGCCCTGAATCTCTAATGTGGACCAAGTGGTTGCAGGGGTAATCACACTAGTTTGTCTGGTATACAGTGAAGTTTTATTGGCATACTTACAAAGCTGGGCTTTTATATCTGCATGGCTTATGGAGTAGTGCCATCCAATAGAAATACAGGGTGGGGCAAAAGTAGGTTTACAGTTGTGAGTATGCAAAACAGAATTTATTCTTGTATTATTATTTATTAACTAGAGGCCCGTTGCATATTTGTGCATGGGTGGTTCGCTAGGCCTGGCTGCCAATCAGGGCCTTCCTTCCCCTGATGCTGGCTGCTGGACAGGGCCTTCCTTCGTTCCATGCCACCTCCTGGTGGTCAGCGCACATCATAGCGAGCCATCAAACTCCTGGTTGCTCAAACTCCTGAGGGGACAATTTGCATATTAGCCTTTTATTATATAGGATTATTGTACTATTTTTCATAGGAATAACTGTAAACCTTCTTTCCCCCCACCCTATATAAAGTAATGTAAACCACACCCATGAGCTATATATGTTAATTAAACATTTTTAGTAGTCACATTAAAAAGGTAAAAAGAAACAAGTGAAATTCATTTTAATAGATTTTATTTAACACCATTATATCTAAAATATCATTTTAACATATAATAAAAAATTTATTAAGGACAAATTGTACTGCTTTGTGTACTAACTCTTCTGAATATGGCATTTTGGGTATGCTCCTTGTCAGAGTAGCCACATTTTTTTTTAATTTAATTTTTTTAATTTTATTATTTAAAAAAATATATTTTATTGATTTTTTACAGAGAGGAAGGGAGAGGTATAGAGAGCTAGAAACATCGATGAGAGAGAAACATTGACCAGCTGCCTCCTGCACACCCCCTACTGGGGTTGTGTCCACAACCAAGGTACATGCCCTTGACCGGAATCGAACCTGGGACCTTTCAGTCCGCAGGTCGATGCTCTATCCATTGAGCCAAACCGGTTTCAGCAGGAGCCACATTTTAACTGCTCACGAGCCACATGTGCCAGAGGCTAGTTTATTGGATAATGCAGGTTTAGAGAGTGCCCCAAAGTAAGGACAAGGAGCATATCATCTCTAAGTGTTGGATCCCACTACATAGGGAGCCTGTTATTAGACGATCTCCATCAGCCAGGACAGTTCATGGTATGTGCTGGTCATGCCCAGTAAGTAACTAGAATTAGTGTTTTGTGGAGCGTGGGGCTTTGGAATGTCACTGTGTGCTTGGTTTCACCTCAGAGGGAGTGGCTTGAGCTCTGAATAACGAGAATTGTTCCTCAGAAAAAGAATTGTTGAGCAATAAGTATAGGATTTCCTGGATAATAGCCAAGCCTGAGCAGGTTTTCTATAGATTGGTTAGCACACATTTTTTCCACTTCCTGGAGATGCCCTAGAATTAGAAGGTGGAAAAACAGCCATATATTATATTACAGTGGTGACTATAAAAGGCACCATGTTCCTGAAACTGACCAGGTTGGAAATTGTTTTCAGGGATCCAGGATGGACTGGGGACATGTGTCCATAGTAGCAAACAGGCTTTCCCCTACCCTGCAGACTCCTGGAGCACTCCTGTGAGGTCCTTTTCATTGCTGAGGGACCCAATATGGTACAATCATACTGTAAGATTTAGGAAAAGAACAGCAATATTTTTGTATGAAAGCAAATGGGGGAATAGTATGAGTATAATGCAGAATTTCCTTGCATTTTAAAACACTAGTAAATGAAAAGATACTGAGTTGCTTTGGGACACACCATTTGTCTTGGTTTTGGAGATCATTCTCCTTTGGAATAGGAGAAATAGTTATAGAAACACTGCCTTTTCTTGAGTTTAATGCACCTTCAAGTTCCAGAGTATGCATAGAAAGACAAGGAAACTGGTATGGTCATCCTTATAAAGTGCATTTTCCAGTGGTGAGGGATAATTCATTTTAAATCAGGTATTTTGAGAGAAAAGGACAACAAATGCTTGTTCAGGTTAATCTTATTAAAAACTTCGTTTTAAAAAATAAGTGTGCATACATACATATATGTTCCTCAGGGTAGCCAAGGTTCTCTTTTCCCCCCAGTGTCATTATTTTTATTTAATATTTTTTTTAGTGAAATTTTATGAACAGGGTTTGTTATTTATTTAGATAGTTGTTTTATTCCCTTTAGGATTTCAACTTATATTTTAAAACTTTTCTAACATTTTTACTTTACTCTGATTATAAGACTAATACATACTGATTACTATATGAAGAAGATAAAAGGAATATACTAATGTTATGCTTTAGTACTGTCTTTTTAAAAAATATATATATATTTTATTGATTTTTTACAGAGAGGAAGGGAGAGAGATAGAGAGCTAGAAATGTCGATGAGAGAGAAACATCTACCAGTTGCCTCTTGCACACCCCCTACCGGGGATATGCCCACAACCAATGTACATGCCCATGACTGGAATCGAACCTGGGACCTTTCAGTCCGCAGACTGACGCTCTACCGCTGAGCCAAACCGGTTTCAGCTTTAGTACTATTTTATCTTGTTTGTGATTATTGCTTTTTAAAACATTTTTTTTTTTCTGGAGGGAAAACCTTGAGCATAATTTAAAGCATAACTTCAACCTTATAATAATATTTTTTATGATTATTGCTTTTAATTATTTTATAAAGGAAAAATTTTAGGAATAGAGGGTTGAAGTTATGTTTTAGGTGATGAAATAATCACAAGAAATATAAAATGGCCACTATTTATATATTATAATTTTATCTATCAGTGGCAATTGCAGTTGGAAAAAAGATCAAGTTATTAGATGGTTTCAGAAGTTAAATGGTTCAGCATGGTAAAAACTAAGATAAAGAAAATAAACAGTGGCCTAGCCAATTTAGCTTAATAGATAGAGCATTGGCCTTCACATCAAAGGGTCCTGGGTTCGATTCTGGTCAAGGTAATGTACCTTGGTTGCAGGCTCTTCTCCCACCCAGTCCCTGGTTGGGGACGTGCAGGAGGCAACTAATCCATGTATTTCTCTCACAGATGTTTCTGTTCCTCTCTCTTCCATGCTCTCTGTAAATCAATGGGAAAATATCATTGGGTAAGGATTAACAACAACAGCAAAAAATAAACAGTGAATAACATAATGCAGATGGATGAGGCATGGGATAGCACCTTTTATTCTGGTAAAAGAGTTAAAGATTCAGTTAGGAAATAGTGATGCCCATTGTTAACACTCCTGAAGTCTAGCAATCATGGTAAACAATGCTCATTGCTGAGGTTCTTTCTACTGCACTTAGGCACAGATTTGCTTTTTTTTTTTTTTTTAAATATATTTTATTGATTTTTTACAGAGAGGAAGGGAGAGAAAAAGAGAGCTAGAAACGTCGAGAGAGAAACATCAACCAGCTGCCTCTTGCACACCCCCTACCGGGGATGTGCCCACAACCAATGTACATGCCCTTGACCAGAATCGAACCTGGGACCTTTCAGTCCACAGACCGACGCTCTACCACTGAGCCAAACCGGTTTCGGCTAGTTTTGCTTTTAAATCAGCTGTTGGTATAGTCAAGTGGAAACCTATTTAATAGCCTAGATATAATCTAAAAAGAGAAGGGAAGTAGGCAACAGAAAGCCATAGGATAAAATCTATGGATCACTTTTTTAGTAAAGCTCTCTGAAAAGGAAGGAATGGGGTGTGGTCATTATCAGATCCTCTACAGCTCCCAAAGCCCAGACATTTTGATATATTGAATTTAAGGAAAGAGAGAGAACACTAGTTTAGTGGTTCTCAACCTTGATACCAAGATCTCAATGACTGCCATTTGTAGGCACAAATGTTTTCTCATTAATGGCTATTCTAGAGTTGGAATGGCACAGAGCTGATAGCCTATAACCTGGGTCTGCTCGTGGGAGTACAGGAATTTGGGAACTTCATCTCTCCCAGACAAAGTAAAAGCTGTGCCTCCTGTGGCTAGAAAGAACAACTATCTAGTAATTTGTTTTGAACTGGCTTCCTCATGGAGACGACTTCACAGTAGTAGCAGCTGAGGCTGCAGTAGTTACAATAGTAACAGTCCATCTCTCTGCTGGTCTTTTAAAAAGTCTGAATCCCAGGGAGAGTCTGACTCAATGTTTTGGGACATAAATGCTTACAGGTTTAATTAAAGAAAGCCAACTCTGGTAGAAAGATGTCAAGGGGCACACGGTGCAGAGGACAGATGGTGTCTGACTCACAAGGAGCAACACACAGGGAGAACACTTGTTCAGAAAATCATTCATTTTCCTGTTATCAGTAACTGAGAGCATTGTATTATGCTGCCCATAAACAGTTAAGGTTTCTTTGGTAGCTAAATAGAGGCCTCCTGCCTTCAGGTAGCCACAGTGATTTTAGCACTGCAGGGTGGGGTACTGTTTGGTACTTGCTATTCTTTTTCTGTAAACTTGTAGGTCTAGGTATATTTCAGGAAGGAAGTTAAAACGTTGGGTGGTGATTAACGTCTCTCATGGGGATGAGGAGGGGTAGGCACTCTTGTTTTCAAACCAAAACAAGTGTATTTACATTTATATTACTGTTTACCAGCAAAGTAACAATTCCCTGTCCTGTGTCAATTCTATTCTGGGCAGATATTGGGGGTCAGGGAAGGTAAATACTGAGGGTCTAGGGAGAAGAGATCACCTCCCTCCTGTTGGTTTTCCTTTTAGCCATGTTACATTGTTCCATATTGTCTCTTAGGGGAACCAACTTCGCATGAAACAGGCTAAGTCCCAGGGACTGTCTCAGCGAGTGGTCTTCAAAGCTTAGTTCTGACATTGCGCTCACTGGCAAGAGGGTGACAACAGGAAACTCCTGGGGAAAATTTTTGTTCCAGAGCATCGCTAGGTAGAAATTCTGAGGAACGAGAACTGGACAGTCACTGAGCAAAGGTAGAATAAAGTGAACATGTGAGGGATTCAGCCTGCCCATGGAAACCTGCTGGGAAGGGAAAATTATTTAAAACCACACTAACTGGATAAAGCACTAAAGTAGCAGAGGACTGGAAAAAAGAAAGTATGCTTCCAGGGTTTCCAAAAACAGGAAGAGAGAAATGAACCTGTCAGTTGTTATTCTCTCAAATTAAAGTTAATCTCAAGTGAAACAGTGGAAAAAAGTATTACAAAACAACAGGCATGTCTTATGAGAGGGTTAATCAAGGTCGTGAGAATCAACAGTTTTGTAAATTATGTTGAAAAATTTACATTTATGAAATCCCAGGTAAAAATTGGTCATTAAATTGCTGCAGTAAAATAGCTGGACCACAGTTTAAAAGAGTAATGAATCTAGAATGATAAAGATTCCCCCTTTTAGGTTATTAGCCATGCCTTGAGGTTCACCACTGAGTCAGGAGATTTCTTCTGACTCTGACTTGAGGTTGTTTCATTTTTTTGCATATTTATGTAAACATATTTTCATAGTATAGACCTACCGTATTTTTCGGACCATAAGATGCTCCGGACCATAAGACACACCAGTTTTTAGAGAAGGGAAATGAAGAAAAAAAGATTCTGAAACAAATAGTGTCCTAAAATATTTTATGTGCATTAAAACCCAACATCACAGTCATAAACACATGTAATCAACCCTGTAAAGTAAACAGCAGCATTTAGAACCATTTTAGAGCCGGGCAAGCACACAAAGACCACACAGAGCCGGGCAAGTAAAAAAACTTTTTTTTTAAAGTATATGTGTAGGCTATATTTGGACCATAAGACGCAGGGACTTTTCCCCCCCACTTCTGGGGGGGAAAAAGTGCGTCTTATGGTCCGAAAAATACGGTAATTTGTATTCTGATTTTTTTCTCAGTTAATCTAAAGTTGCCATGTGTTGTTAGTTCATGTTATTATAATTTTTATGACTAGAAACTACTTGTTTATGCTTTGTGTTAGATATTTGTGTTATTTCAAAGGACATTTATGCTATTACAAATAACCTGCAATGAACATCCCATGCATAGTAATCTTTCCTCATTATTTTGGATTATTTTCTTAAAACTATTTTTAAATAGGATGAGTGAAAGAAATGAGCATCTGAGGGCTTTTTATCCTTCTTGCAAAATTGCTTTCTAAAACATTTCCCCAGTTATACGTGGTGATGTGAGAGTGTGCCTAATGAGGTTACATTGTGTGATGGATTCCCTGGATTAATGCAACTGGAAGAGATTCTCACCTGAGCTGATGCTGAATCACCTCCCAATGGAATCCTGGTCTCAAAATATATTTTTAATGAATTACTATGGACAGAAAAAAGAAAAGTATATGTCAGTGGGAAATTTTAGATAGTCTCTGATGGAAGGGTTTTTCAATTTTTTTTAGGTTTACATTGTTTTATGTAAAATTTTTAGAGCCTAAAATTGGGGAGTAAATACCACTTAATGTATTGAAATTGGTTTATAAATGATAGCATCTAAAAATCTCTCATGTGTAGTGGGGCTGAGTAACATTTGTGGGTAAATGAAATGCTGTGGGAAACTTGTCACTCAGATTAGCCCTGAAATGGATTTTTTTAAAAATGTGTGGTTGAAATTAGACTGTTCTGCTTGAAATTACAGATATTTTTCCACCCAGGTTTCCTTAAAATGAGCTATGTGTCTACAATTCACTGTTACAGCCAGTATTTGCAAATACTGTAACAAAAAGCTGTTCAAACAAATATTCAGTCTTTCACATCCCAAACCATGTGGGAAAGGGACATACTTTTTAAAAGTGGGAATTCTTAATGTTATAATTTGTTTGGTTGGAGCAGGAACTATTTAAAAAACTCACAGCTTTAATAAGTGAAGGAGACATGCTGATGTAAACCACAAACATGTTTAGTGCATGAGATCATTCAGACTCCTCACCTTCATAACAAAAGGTTTTCCCTCTTCTGGCTTTTTCTTTTTTCTTTCTTTCTTTTCCTTTTCCTTTTTTTTTTTTTTTTTTTTTTGACAACCATGTCAAGTTTTCCTGGCGATGGCTGGGAGCAGCACTCCAACTATTAAGCTGTGTGAGAACAGTGAACTTGGTCAGCAAGGATCATTTGTCTGCAGTTGTCAACAAAGACTTGTTTTACTAGGAACAATGACTACGCAGGTTTGTGCGGAGTGTTGTGTGCAGAAGCGTTAATCAGTAAGCAGCTTGAGCCACACTCAAAATCTCTTTTACATAGTTATTTTGCTGTTTGGAGGTGATTGTTGTCTCTGTCAATTGGCACAGTGTGAAAAAGAAGTTCATCAGTATGCTAGGATGCTCTCTGCCGAGAAAGCTTGACTCCAGTTCTGTTTCTTTTCTTCTGGTTCTCTTTAATCAGGTTTCACCAGCACACAGCCCTGATACTATTGATGTTTAAGTACAGAAAGTGATTAAATGATAATGATCTTGGTCTCCATCCAAGCTGACAGATTTTTCTAGCTTTGGGAATACTTCAGTGCCTTGGATGGAGTGCATTTTTTACACACTCACTCACGCATTCACACACACATACACATTCACACACTTCACACTCACAGAGGACCTTGATTCCAAGAAGTACAGAAAGGACAATGTTGGCTATTAAAAAAGGGTGATAGTGTAAAGCTAGTACGAGTAACTGGGTGTGAATGAATAATTCTACTCTGTTTGGCACTTACAAAAAGGACTGAATCACTACAAGAAACATTCTAAGCTTTATTCCAGCCTAGTTGAATCACTAAGATCAAGTTTTTAGAAATCTGAAGCTGATAAAAGTTTCATTTTGAGTCCTAAGCAGTGGTACATATGTGAATCTTTTCCCTGTACACATTTCAGGAGACTCGCCCTAACTTTTCCCATTCAGTGACCACCTCCCCGCCCCCCGCCCCCCCACATACAATTAAATTTTTTGTTTTTTTGTTCACTGTTGGGCAGCTTTCCATGCCTGACAAGCAGATAAAACTGATGACAGGAAATGTATGGAGTGGCAAGTTTTTGAGTTTTTCCAATTTCAAGAGTATTTGTGAGGGGGCAATGGATATTAAAAACACCTTATGTGTGGTGCCTAAAAGCTTGGATAATGAGTTCTAATATCAGTAATAATACATCTATGTTCTAATGTTGACACTGTCTCTTGTCTCTTGATAGCCATGTGACCTTGAGCAAGTCACTTAACCTCTCAATATGAAGGATAAACACAAACAATTGATTAACATAATAACTTAAAACTAATTTAGCATTCTCTGAGCACTGTGCCTGGTCATGTTTCATGTGTTGCCATTTAATCTGCATGACAATGCATTGAAGTATATCCTGTTATATTTTGACCAGAGGCCTTGTGCTTGAAAATTCACGCACTGGAAGGGGCTCCCTCAGCCTGGCCTGCCCACTCTCACAGTCCAGGAGCCCTCAGGGGCTGGAGGCAACTCAGCAATCAGGGGAAGGTGATGTCCCATCACACCTCTGCTGCTGTCGCTGCTGGCAGCGTAAGCCTTGGCCGGTTGTCTGAGCCTTGGGCGGCCCTGGGTGGCTGGGCAGCTGCCATCTGAGGCTTGCCTACGCCTCAGGCCAGTGAGACTGAGGGGACTGGGAGCAGGTGCATCTGCTGCCCCGGCTGGGTGGAAGGAACTGGGCATCCATCTTGTGGCTGTGGGTATTGCCATCTTAGAGGGTGGGGCAGTCAATTTTCATATTTCTTCCTTATTGGCTGTGGCCGCCACTATATTTGTGATAGTGTGAGGGTCAATTAGCATATTCTCTATTTATTAGATAGGATTTGACAAACAAGGAAATTGAGACCCAGCGAGGTTAAAATCTTGTTATAGGTGATGTAGCTAATATGAAGGAGTAAAATGACTGCATTTCTTGAACCATATTCATTCTACTCTATCATCCTGGCTCTCCCCAAATGCCCTGGTGTGATGTTTTATATATCAGAATTCCTGCTTCTGAATAGATGAGATAGGGAGGAAAGATTGACCAAAGATTTCCACAGATTCTATATTTCTGCTACTACCTTCTAATGGTTGACAAGATTCTAAACTTGTGCTATTACCTTCTAATGGTTGGAAAACAAGGGGTGTGGAGGGGGCTAGACCTATGAGAACTAACATTTTAACTAATCTCTGGTCCAAGTGGTTTCTTACAAATGGTTTAAATTAGTGAGAAGTGAAAAGGAATACAAAACGCAGAGGCAACCTATCGAAAGACTTCTTTTGGTGGGGCTCATGAAGTAATAATACAATTTGACAATGCAGGAAAACCCATGTGAGGGTCTAGTGAGTTACTTCATTCAAAAGTCTTTAAGTCTTAGGGTTGAGAGTATGAGAATTTGTATAGCTAGACCAAAGTATAATAGTTATACCAAGTCTTGGAATGGAAGCCTTGAAAATACTCTAAGAGATATCTTATAAACCCTGTAGATTTCATTATCCTCGAATAGAGTTTCCCTTAGCCAAAGCTGGAGGAAGTTGAAGGAAATTTTGGACTCCTCAAGATCAGTCCTGCTATAAAGTACTTGTCTTTTTGGAGTGAAACTGGCTAATATCTAGATGGGGCTTATGTGGTAGCAGTGGCCAGCTGTAATTTCTGGATGTTTGAATAGAAAAAAAACCCCTCTTATCTCTGAAAAAGGGTTTACTAGTAAGTTCATATCATTGATACCAAATTAGGCAGTTGCTCATTGGAGCTCTTCCTCTTTGTGCATATAGATATTACTTTCTTACTTTCATGTAGTGCTCTTGAGAAGAGAATTGTTGATGATTTTCTAGAGTAAAAAAAAGACTGGTCCAAATACATAAATATTTTGTCTGTACACTGATTCTACTGGAGGTATATTAGGATTAACAGTCTACTGGGATGGCCAGAGTTTCCTGGGTAATTTTAATCTAACACTTATTTAAATTTTAGTGTCAAATGTTTAAATATGACTTAGTAAATAGAAATGTTAGGAGAGAGAAAGGCAATAGGGATAACATAGATGGTCTCTTAATTTTAGATGACTTTTCAGGGTCTTTCAACTTCATATATATTAGGGTACGTCCAGAAACCCCTATTGATGAAGAAGATGATGATGGTAATAGCTATTATGTTATAGTGATACCTGTTGTTAGTCTTTTTAAAAACATATATATTTTATTTATTTTTTACAGAGAGGAAGAGAGAGGGATAGAAAGTTAGAAACATCGATGAGAGAGAAACATCGACCAGCTGCCTCTTGCACACCCCCTACTGGGGATGTGCCCGCAACCAAGGTACATGCCCTTGACCGGAATCGAACCTGGGACCTTTCAGTCTGCAGACCGACGCTCTACCTACGGAGCCAAACCAGTTTCGGCATGTTGTTAGTCTTGATATAATGGTTAGAAAATTACTTGTATGTTAACCCTCCACAAAAACCCTAGTAAGTTAGAGATTATTGTTTATATTTTAGTTATTTAACATATTGGGATTCAGAGAATTATCTAATCACTTAAAGTCACACAATATAAGAGTTAATACAGGAACTAGTATACTGGTAGTGCTAGAGTTAGACTCCTTTTTTTCCATTTTTTAAACGTTTTGCATTGTAAAACAGTGAATTAAAAAAATTCATACACATCTTACTTTAAAAAACGAATGGTTTATAGAATTTTTTCTCTTGATTTCTGATAACTCAAAAAAAGTATTGTTTGTGAAAACTTAACTATTGCACAATAGAGGAAAGAGCTTTCACAGGAACATGGTGACAACCATAAAAGCTTCATCAGCTTTGTAGATGTCACGTTTAAATCCCATGCTTTCCATTAGGTTCATTCGCAGTATATATTTTAATAGTATTTCCAATGAGGGGTCTGGGAATGGGAATACACTTAATAGTATTTCCTATGAGTGTCTCTGAGTGATAAAATCTTGATCTTAGAATGTCTGAAAATGTCTTTAATTTGCTGATTATTTTAGTTGGACATAACTTTCTATATGGACAGTAACTTCCCTTCAGATTTTGAAGATTTTAGCAGTGTTTGGCCTCAATATTGCTTTTTAGAGTTTGCTGACCATCTAACTGTAGTTCTTTTAAGAGTTTTTCTTTATTATGTTTTTATCTCAAGTCATGTAGTGTGGATTTATATTTATTTATCCTGCTCATATCTAAGGGCTTAGTTCTTTCTATAATTATGGGAGAGCTCTCCAAATAGTCCATCTTTGTAATTCCTTTTGTTATTATTTTTCTGAAATTGTTGTTAGACATATAAAGGAATCTCTTTATCTTCTGACTCTCTTAATTTATTTTGAAGAAAAATATTTCCCACCTTTTGTGCTTCCTTCTAGCTGAAATAAAATGACACCTCCTTAGTATTCCAATTCACTATTTTTTTGATGAGTCAAATGTAGATTTTTATACCATCTGTTGAATTTTCCTAGTTTAGTGAATATACTTTTACTTCAAAGATTTTTAATTGTTTCTTCTTTATATATACTTTTTCTTATTCTGTTTTTTAAACTTTCATAAGTAAATAAACAGTAGTACATATATGAGTGTCTTCCCTGAATACTAGTATATATTTCAGGAGATTCTCCCCAACTTTTCCCCCTATTACATTTATTTTTAATGGGTTTTAAAAATACCTTATTATTTTTAATGGATGTTGTTTCTTTATTCATCTTATTAATTATCCTAAACCTATTTATTTTAAACTCTTTCTTTTATGAAATTAATTTCATTTGGCTAAATTTATAACTTGATGGTTGATTTGACTTTCTTAGAATTAGGTCCTTTTATATGTTTGGAATTTTAATTTGTGGAATTGTGTGAATGTGAGGGATTTTCATTTTTTTGTATTGTTTCTTTCTCATTCTACCTTCTAATGCTTTTGTGGTTTTGCTGTTGTCTTCACCTGGTGCCTCTGGCCCAGTCTATAAGTGAATATTATAATAGTATTTAATAAATTATTGCTCTATGATGAGTTGGGGAATATCAAAGATTCATGGAGCAAGCAGGCAATCTGACTCAGTTTCTCTCCTAAGATTTCCTCTATGCCCATAGCAGTTCATAAAGCTGGAGCCTCATGCAGTGT